CTACCCCACGGTGTTAATTAGGAGTATTTTCTTACCTCTGGATTCTTTCCTAGCATAAAATATGTGTTTTTGTCAAGATACCTTTCTTTTTCTTTTCTTTTTTTTTTTCCTGGGCAAATGTCAACGGTTTTGGTGACATTTTCTGATTTTTTTTTTTTCCAGCTGGGAGAATCAAAATGGAAAATACCACTTTAAATCAGCATTTTAGAATGAAACATTTTTCATTTTAAAATGTCAGTTTAAAAGAGAACAATTCATTTTGAAATGCTTCAAAACAAGAAATGCCCTTTTACCACCTCAAATCACTTTGTTTTGATTAAAAACGTCAGCGCTTTCTGTTCTGGCGCTTCATCGTGGGAGTCTCTTGCCCTGTCTCAGCCTGGTCCAGAGCGGGCAGAAATTTAGGAGATGGTTGAAAATGAGAAGATTTCTTCTGGCAGCAGCCCCGGTTTGTCCCGTGCCCGGCCGCAGCCCCGCGCTGCCCTCGCTGCCTCCGTGGGCCCCGGGGGTGTGGGCAGCGGGGATGGTGCAGCGGAGCTCCCCGGGGAGGGCACCGAGGGGCAGCCCGGGCGCCCACGGCCGCTCCTGGCCGCGCTCCCGAGCCTCGGCCTCGTCGCCACTCGTCTTCACGGCCTCTCGTTAATAAAGGATGAGCCGGCACTGAAGTTTTATGGGGGACGTTGGTATCTGCTCGGCGTTGTTGGACAGACGTTGTCAAAGCCGATACCGCACCTGCTGCCGCCGGAGCCCTGGAGCCGTTTCCACCTGCCGGGCGGTGGCTGATAAATAGTACAGGGAATGTATTTAAAGCAGTCGACAGTAAAATACCAACTCTTTGAGGATTTAAATTTTTCCTTAAGGCCTATAAAACCGGGCTCCTTCCCACCACAGACATCCTGGGTGGTGCGGGAGCGGGTGCCGGCGCCGTGCCGCGGTGCGCGGAGCCGCCCGGGGAGGTTCCTGGTGTGTTCAGAGGCCGCGGGTTTGCGTCGGTTTATGAACTTCGCAGCTGTACTGAGAGGAGAAGCAGCCCCGGGAGGTGGCATGGTGGGGACAGCGGGGCGCGGGTCCCCCTGGGCATCGGCCGCCCCGTTCCTCGTCTGCCCGCAGAGCAGGAGGGTGGCTGGGCCCTGGGACGGCCGGGGCGGTCTGTCTGTCCGTCTGTCTGTCGGTGAACAGTGCCCAGCCTGTGAGAGCCAAACCTTGGGCGTCACCGCCAGGGACCTCGGTGACACAGGGGCGATGACAGCGCGTAACCGCAGGAACCGCACGCGGAAAAGGCAACACCTGGAATGGCTCAGTGCTCTTTCCTCTGGCTCTTCCCGCTCACCCCGGGGCTGTATTTGGTGTCTGTGCTCTGCGTTAGCTGCTGTAACAGCCCGGCTGGGTGCTCCGGCAGGAGGAATCGGAGCCCCGCTGGCGTGGCGAGGGGTGAGCAGGGCTACGGGCTCATTCCCCAGAGGGGTTTTGGTGCGTGCTCGTGTGCTGATGTGGGGCCGCCCAAGCTCCGGGGCGTCCCCCACTCTCCCGGGGGGACACGGCGGCTCGTACTCCCCATATTCCTCTCTCTCCTTTCAGATGCGCTGATGTCTGCCCCTTGCAAAGACCTGACCCCCCCCGGGTTGGCAGATGCGCAGGCGTGAGTGTGAACCCCCAGTAAAAGGTAACTATCACTGCTCCGTGCTCCTGCTGCTGGGATTATCTGTCCCGCCGTGATGGCCAGTGCTGCTGGAGGAGCCTGAGCCCGTCCAAGGGTGGTGGGTGAGCCCCGGGCGCGTGTCCTGTCTCCCAGGGCCGTGTCCCCGCAGCCAGGCCACCCCATCCCCACGGCCGCAGCCACCTCAAGGAGTGGGGGCTGCACCTCCCAACCCTCCCCAGCTCCGCTTCCTCCGCGCGTCTCCTCTTGTTTTTGGTAGAATGAGTGAGAGAGACATACAAAGCCTGAGCAGATGGGTTTTCGTGCTCACTCTCTGCCTTACCACGCTGTGGGGAAGACTGACGCTGGCCTCCACCCATCACAGAAGCCATCCAGGTAGGGGAAGCGGCGTCCTCGCCATGTGCGTCGCGCTCCCGTGCAATCGCCCTGGGTCCCCATGACACTGGTGGCACCTTGGGGTCTCCATGGGATGCCTGGGGAGGGGTTGACGTGGGGCCAAGATGTTTGAGGGTCCGTCCCTCATTCCTGGGCGAGTGCCGGTGGTCTCGGGTCGTGTCACGCAGCGGCTGCGGGAGCGGGCGGGTGTCTCGGGAGCCATCGGCCCGGGGGACCTCGGTGTCCAGCCCTGTGGCTGGGGTCTGGGCGGTGAGGATGAGTGTGCTGAAGGCACAGGGCAGAATCCAGCCAGCAAACATCAAGAGGCGCTGACATTTTCTCTCTGGTGCTGCTGCGATGGCCGTGGGATTTAGACTTCAAGTGCCCACGTGTGCAGGGAGCTCCCTGGGCTGCTCCTCGGAAGCAGCCTGGAGCCATATAGCCGTAAAGCTCTTCCTGGGAGTTATAAATCCTAAATACTTAATACGGGGCATTTAAAAACTGTTGCTCGGTGAGCCTAGCTGGTCTGGGGAGCTGAAAAGCAAATTTCTTCACGTCTGTAGCAAAATCTGACACACTTCTAGATATTCGGGTTATTACCGAGGTAATTCATGATCTGGGAGCAGGGAGACATAACTCTTTCCACCTAAGTTGCAATGAGTGTCACAAACCACACTTGCTGGGTGATGGACACGCCACTTACCTTCAGCTCTCTGGTTGTAAAGATCATCTTGAAACCTGGAACGAGTATAAATTGATGTAGAGCCGAAGGTCTTGCTGGGCAGCGTAGCCTTGGCTCTGGGGTGTGAATTTGTTACTCCCAGCGGTGGCTTCGAGGTCCCCCCGATGCGGGTGCGCTGGCACGCTGCTCTGTGCCGTCCATGTGACTTTGCGGGGGGGGGGTTACGTGAACCCACGGTTGAAGCTTGTGGCTTGGGAAGCAGCTGAGAGATTGTGCTCAGCCCTTCGTGTCCGTGTGCCGGGCGAGGGGCCCAAAGGGCCGCGCTGGAGCGGGGATCTGGCGCTCCAGGGCTGGGGGTGCGCGGTGGGAGGATGGGGGGGTGGGAGCCAGTCGTGCGGGCAGAGCTGTGCAGCAGCGGGTGCTGGGAGTACGGAGCAATCCTGGGGCACGCGCCGCCCGCTCCTTGTGCCTGTGTCTGGAAAAGGAGGTGTTTAAGGGTTAATTTGAGACTGTTGGTGCTCTCGCCTGACCCCACACCAAACCCTGTTCTATTTCTGTCATTTTTGCCTGACAGTTAAAGCAGCTCTAATCCTATAATCCCCATCCTCATTGCTTAAAACCAAAATGAGCCTTCCAGAGCGACTCCCTCAACCCGCCAGCCGGCAGTTCCCTGCCTTCCTCTTTCTAACATAGGTGCACGAGAAGATAAAACTCCTCAGTTGTTTCGGGAAAGACTTTTTGGCACCAGGTCGGGACTCCCTGGGACACGGGCTCGGGCACTCGCCCAACCTGCCCAGTCCCTGGGGCCGGACCCCGCGGAGCCCCGCGGAGCCCCCTGCTCCCCGGCTGGGGCGCTTGCAGGGGACCTGCTCCTTCGGGGAACGCTCAGGCCTGGCGTTACCCGAGCAGCAGCTCACCCAGGTTTAAAGTGCAGATGCCCAAGTGCACTCACGAGGTGTGAATTATGTATAAATCTCGCTCCACACGTGAGGAGACAGGCTCACGTATTCACGTGCTCGCAGGCAGGGAGCTGGGGATTTTTCCCTCACACAGATTTATCCACAGTGGACCAGATCTTGTACATTTTATTCAGCAAATTCTAATCCGCAGCAAAGAGGGCGTACAAGGAGCAAATACTTAAAAATTTGACCCCGCTCTGTGTCTGTATTAACACGGTTTCTCTCTGCGCGTCCTGGTTTCCTGGCACCGTGAGTGTTTTGTGTGGCTGCCCCCTCTCCTGGGCTGGATTTCCATGGGCTCAAACCAGGAATTCTTAGTCTGCTTGCTGAGTTCATGGCATTTATTTACCTGTTGTCTCTCCGCTGCTTTTGCTTCGTTTGGGACAGGTTTTGGTAAAAGTGATGTTTGAAACACAGTTTCACAAGGTTCCATCCTTGGCCGCAATGACATTTTTGTCCAGGGAAGCCGCAGTTACGTTCCTGCGTGGGGCGGTGGGAGGGGGGTGGCTGTGGGGCTGCCCGTGACCCCCAGGGCCGGGGATGCCGAGGGACTGGCTGCACAAAGCGACCGACTCATCCAGAGCTTTCCGTTTAGAGCGTTGCGTTTATTATTCACAGCTCAAACCAGGTGTGGCACCCAGAAATGAGCAATAGCAGAGGAAGGCCTTTAGTTGTGACGGTGCGGCCACACTGTTTCTGAGCACCCAAAGTTATGAACTTCTTGCCGAGAGCCCCCCCG